TTAGGGCAATTCAAAGTGTTTAACATAAACTAAAAAGAAATACAAACAAAATAACAAACCAAAAAAAGAGCAAAAGAAGAAAAAGAATATAATAATGTTGATCCAAAGTATATTAATTAGATGCTCCGGTTCAGAGTTGATAGATGCGTACAAGTAAGTCTAATTCGTTTTCTAGGTTGGAAGAACAGGAGTCTAAAATGTAGATGCTAAGTTAGTTTTTCTGGATTCTAAGTTTGTTCTAATTCTTGTTCTGGATTGCATGATTAGAATAAGTACCTAAGTATCCTCTGGACTTTCTAATTGTGTTTAACTTTGTAAGAGTAATGAGTTTCCAAGTAATAATAGTAACTAAATGTTTCTAAGTTTGTTTTAATTCCTTTTCTGGGCTGCATCAATAGGAATCTCTCTACATACAAACCCATAAAGTAATCTAAAAGAATAATATTGGTCCAAATAATGAGTCTCTGGATTCTGTTTATTCTAATTCCTTCTCTGGGTTAAATAGTGAGTACTCCACAGTTTCTAACAAGTAATGAATAAACTAGACAAACAGATAGACAAGGGCAAGAACTGACACATCAAGGGAAAATAGCACAATAGCAACATTGAAGACATGGCCAGCAAAGGCAGTGATGTCAGGGAAATGTATCTATAAACAATGACAAGTGTCTGCGGTTTGACCATGAGTTTCGTACAGCCTGCTCTTCCATGCAAAAACAGTTAATGATAGAAATGGTGTCATCTCCGAGCATGTCCTTGAGTCCCGATTCCATGGTTGTCATTAGGAAGGAGGGAGGAGAAGATAGGAAGGAGTGGCTTGTTTATATAAACTCCAGGAGATTTGAAATAACCAGCCAGTTCAGCCAAGGCTGGCAGACTCAGAGTGTTTAGATGCAGAATAAACAAATTGTCTACAGAACAGGCAGACTTAAAGGGTACATTTCTCATTTCTAATTTGGAAATTAGCATGGTCGATCAAGAGTTTCAGTTTTTATAGATATAAACTACTGATCAGGCCTGAAATCTGAGTCTGAATCTCCAAAGACACATAAAGAAAGTTACAAAGTTGGTCTTCCGTCACTTGGCAAGCATTTTTAGGATTAAAAGACTAATATTTCAGTAAAATATAGAGAAACTCATCCTGTGTTTGCCTAAAATATAGATATATATAAATAAATCAATCAATAAGACCCAGAATGCTGCTGCTGGTGTTCTGACTAAAACCAGGAAGGTAAAGAACATGACCCCAGTTATAAAGTCCTTACACTGCAGCTCAAAGAAAAGACTTTAAAATTGGTTTATAAATCACTGAGTGGCATAGCATCAAAATACATTGTCGTATAAACCTTCCAAACTTCTCAGGTCTTCTGGTTCTGGTCTGCTCTGCATTCAGAACCAGAACCAAATATGGAGAAGCAGCATTCAGTTTCCACGCACCACAAATCTGGAACAAACATCTGAAACACTGAAGTTAACAATAACAGGAACATTGACCAAAATGTGACGTTTAAATGTTGTTTAGTAATTGGTTACTGTTACTTTAAGCTTCCTTTGTGCCATACAAATAAACTTGACTTATTAAAAGTGAACTATTTGTCTATATAATCAGTAATAATGCTCATTATCCACTGGTAGAGTGCGTTAACCAGCATAGTGATCCAAAGAAAAAGGAAAATATTCATCTAGTATTTGCAGAATCCTCTGTAGGCTGCATTCCAGAAGATCCTTGTTCCTACCAGAAACATTCCCCTTCCCACCTCTTTGGGCCGACCGGTTCTTACAGCCAAACATTTTCTACCGGATCAAACTGACCTGGCTGCTGTGGAAAAGATAAACCAACAGTCTAAATGTCAAAGTCGGAGCAGACACAATGAGATTCGTATCGGTTTGTCCTTTTCCTGCCAGGGGCAGCGACCCGATTGCATCGTTTGAAAAAGCGCAGCGGGACAGATCTCTGGGTTGTTTCCTAGCAACAGGTTGTAAGGAAGACACCGGCCCGGCTTGAAGGATGAGAGACAACACCACAGTCCGTCCTCATGAATTATCCCGATTCGGAAAAGAATAATACTGACCCAAGGACTCGCTTGAATACCAATTAGTACCTGAGGCTCCTTCATGGAAATTTAATGATATCAGTTCTTCTGAATGCAGAGCGAGTCCGAGGGAGCCTGGATTTTTACACAAAAGACTGGTGAAATGTAGAAATAAAAGCAGAAATAAACTCAAAAGACAAAAATATACTGATTTTAGATCTATAAAGTCTTCCAAGTAATGAGAGTAAAACATTTTTTTTTACTGCAGAATAAAATGGTAAACCAGGAATTAAGCTACTTTGGGTCACCAGTTCAACTTTGGGATCTTTAGATCCTCTAAACATCAACTAATGTTTTTTTTTTATATCTTCAATGAAAAATGTATAAATCTTTTGCTCAATTAGGCTTATGTATCTTTTGGTGCGTCTGTATATTCCGGTTAACGATTAATCGATTGTTAAATTAGCTGTCGAACATTTTCATCATCGATTAATCGCATTAATCGTTTCAGCCCCAATGGAGTTCTTATCAGAATTGTTCTTTTTCTTGGTGTGAGTGTTAAGGCTTTGTGTTCATCATTAAAAGAAGCAAAAAAGCCAGGTTTTTAGAGCAAATTCTCAAAGCGGCGCCCTGCTGCTGGCGCAGCGATGAGAAGAGTAATGAATGCAGCTGCAGCAGGAGGAGCGAGGTCTAATCCCAATGAGAGTAGTAAAAACAGATGCTATCAGAGGGAGACAAAGAGGATTAAAGACAATGTGTCGTTTTCTTCGGTGCGCTGACAGTTTGAGGGCAGCAGCAGCAGTCGGAGCATGCAGCAGCTGTTTGTGACACACACACACCGTCGATCCTTCGCTCCTCATTACGTCCAGCGGAGTTTGGAGGTTTTTGCTGAGTCATGCTTTGCTGCCCAGCCTGATGGAGCTGATGGCAGCTGTTTGGAGCTGCATCTATCTTCCTCTGCTGCAATCTTTTCTCGTTTCAAACGCTCTTCCTCTGCTGCTTCTGTCGTTGGTTACCTCTTTGTTAGTAGTTGTGATCTATTTCTGTTCAAGCTCTAATATGACCTTTTGGACTCTTCTGGGCTCATTGAGCTTTATTCACCCCGTCTGCCAGAGCTGCTGCAGGAATATGTAGGCAAATTTCTGTTGCAAGGCAAACATTCAGATGCTTTGCCTTTGATCAGTCGATTTAGACCAAATTTGAATAAGCATCGTCTAAATCTGATAGGTGGGTCGAAACGCAAAACCTAAAACAGCCTTTAAACAGTTTTGTTTGTTTGTTTTTTGGTTAAGGTAATTTAAGATAAAAAAAGAGGAGTATATTTGCAAGGAAAAAAAATTAGAAATTTTGATATTTCAGAAATTTTCTAGAAAAAAAACCCATTTTTTAGTTTGCAAAGTTGAAAATGTTCTAGAAAAAAACTTTCAAACTTCTGAGTTTCAAATATTGACTTTTTTTTTGTAGAAAGTTTCTGAGGTTATTTTCACAAGTAAATAAATGTTTTTGGAAAACATTTATTTCTTTTAAAATCTACAATAGCCTTCATATGCCTTTGTTGTTTTAAACACAGATAAGTGACTTTAAAATGTGTTTTTTTTGGCACAAAACGTGCCGTAGTGCACAGATAGGCGATGAGGACTTTGTAACTTGTTGAGAAATTTTGTGGTATTATTGTGATAATAATAAAGATGATGATTTAAAACTGGTCAAAATATAGATTCATGTAATTAAGCTGCACATAGTAAATGCATTTCACAGAATATTTGAATTCACTGATATTTATTTAGACTCTCAAGGAACATTTCTGATCACATTAGGCTTTCTTAATTTATAAATGATCATAACAGCAAACAATCAAAATTGTTGTCATAATAAAACATTTTTATGATAACCCTACATGAGGTAACATAAGAAACTGCCTCCCAGAAAGGTGAGGCAGTTTCCTGAATGTAAATTCGTTGACAGTGGAAACATCTGCCTGCTTATTTCATTTTCCCACTAGAATTATGAATTAATTAGAAACTTTGCTTTGGGCGACGAAACGATCCAAAACTGATGCATGAAGACACAAAAACAGGATATTCTAGCATAATAACTGCTAGCAAAGTCAACAGCCAGACCTTCATACTAAACTCTTCAAACTTTTCTCCTGTATGTTTGAAAGCAATAATTAGCGGCAGCTACAAATATTTTCTTTGTGTCTGAGCCAACTAAGTGACAGTAATTTAGTATCTCGTGTGTGTAGCGTTGGGCTTATGCAAAAGAAAATGTTGAGAGAAAATTAACTGCAGGATTTATAAAAACTAATTGGTGGGATTCTGTCATTATTCCTGGAAGTGAGTAAGATATTTACTGGTTTCCATTCACTATTTCAATATTTTACATCATCTAATTTGCCCGCTAGTATAAGACAATCCCTGTTGAGCAGTTTTTGAGAGGAATGGGACAATTGGAGCTCCAGTGTATTAAAGTAAGAATGCTGAGCAGAAGTTGCAATGTTTCCTGAAGGCTGAAAAACTTTTAACTTTTATTTATTTTTTTATTTTTTAAGTCCAGTGTTTGCTTTTTTGAAGGTGCCGGTTTGTTATGTCACCAAGCTAATGCTCTAAACATTCCTCTTTACCTCCTATTAAGCTGAAAAATTATGATCCCTTTAAATATCTTTAGCAAATCAAAACTGCAGCTTACCAGAAAAGCATAAGAAAAAACTAAACATAGTTTCTTGTTCTACGATTTAGTTGTTTAGGAAATAAAAAATAACGCAATAAGCTTTATTGAGCCTGAATCCAGAAATGTGTCTCTGTAAAACCGAATGCCAAAAACAAACTGAGAAGCTCAAACTAAGACTCTCAGACATCAGGCCTGATATTAAAGTTTAGGAGGATCCAGCTGTGGCCGGTTAGCAGCGACGGTGAACAGAGACGTCAGGACTGACCCAAACGCTGCAGCGTCTAATGACTCGATTACCTTGCATTTCATCATGTCGCTGACCCGCTGCTTCATGGACTGGCCGGCTTTGGGTCTGACCAGGATGTAGAGGGCTTTGACGTCTGGGCAGCTCCGCAGCAGCTTCTCCACCAGCACCTTCCCCATGAAGCCGGTGGCTCCTGTGATCAAAACGCTCTTCCCGGCGTAGTACTCCGGTATGGACGCCATCCCGTCGTTTATCAGTCTGATCTGAGATTCTGACGTCTGCTGCTCTTCTTCCAGTCTGTCGAGGTCTTGGCCTTCTGAAAACTCCTGCAGAGGCAGAACGACGACAGAGTTGAATATGAATGTTCCTTTAAAACATTTTGGTGTTCAAAGTGGGGGTCGGGGGCGATTTGAGGACCCCAGACTGATCTTGTGCGGCTCCCCCGACCACAATTCAGGAATAAATTGGAACAAACAGATTTTTAAATTAAAATCTACTTTCAATAATATTAGATGCTGGTTTCCTCCTGTCGTAATGGTAACTAGGACCAGATCGACTCATTGACTTATATTCTAAAGTTGGCCGATAAGGAATAAATCAATTAATCGAATGATAAATTAAAATGAAATCAATAATTAATTTGCATATTGTTCTTTTTATTTTTTACATAAAACAGAAGGATAAAAAGTTTTCAGTTTGGCACTTCGGTCTCAAATAAAAACCTTCTTTTGAAGGACAATTTTGTTTACATAATTGATTTTACTTGTTTCTGTTTTGTACATTTATCTTGAGTATTTGAAATGTTTTCCTATTGCTTTATTACTTTGCAATTACCATTATATTGCTTGGAAATGGTCTCAGAACAACAATATTATCGTTTATGGCAATAACGTCTGAGACAATTTATTGTCCATCAAAATTTGTTATTGTGGTCGGCTTCTCGAAAGTACGCATCGGTGCCCAAATCCACTTTTAATTGATGTATTAAGGTTTAGAAATCAAAAACTATAATTAAACGGAACTTCCTTTCTTTTTTGTATTCAAAAACACAAAATCATTACTTTAACAACCATCTGAACATTTTGTTACAAGCAAGTTTCCAGGAGCAGGTCAGCAACGTCGCCAAACCCGTCAGAAGGTCTCGGCTCCTGCAGCAGAGTTTATCACAACAGTGTTGACTCGGATATTCTTGCTTCATTTAGTTTACATAGCTGCCGCTCTATTAGCAGGAAGGCCAGTTTTAGTCATGACAATCTTAACTGAGATACAAACGGACGTCTGACTCACAGAAACTACCAACACAAACACAGAGCGACCCGGACTTCAAACTCACTGTGAATCAAAACAGACTTGGATTGTTTCTGTTTCAGCAGAAAAACAGAGTTAAAAACCTTCATTTACGACAGATTCATGAACGGATTCAGACTCCAAAATGTTCATATCCATTCACACCTACCCAAACAAACTAAGCTTTCTCAGCAAACAAACCGGAAAACAAAACAATGAGAGCAAAATGAAGATTTTGGAGTGGCCTCATCAAAGAAAATCAAAATAAAATGCTTTTGAATGTCCCTAAACTCTGTAATGTGGCTGAATTTAAAGAAAAGCAGGTCAAAATAAGTAATTACTCAGCTTATGTTTGTCTGATATCAAAATTCAAAGAGGTGAATCATTTTTAAAATAAAAAAAAAACAGTTTGTTCAAATGGAAAAAGTGTTTCATGCTGTATTAGGGCTACTGAAGATAGAAAAAAAAAGTAAATTTTCACCCAAAAATCTCAGAAATTTGGAAGATTTTTTTTTTAATTTCTGAATTTGAAAAGTACAAAAAATTTCAGAAAAAAGTTCATAAATTTTCAAAAAGAACTTTTGAAACTCTAAAATGTATTCTTATATTTCTGACATTAATTCCAAATTCCTAAGATTTTTTTTATTTATTATTTTTTTCACTTTTTAAATTCAGAAATTTCTGCGTTTTTTTCCTAGATTTTATTTAGACTAATCTCAAAATTTCCTGGCATGTCTGACTACCAGGACGGCTTTTTAAAGTCATTCAGGGAAGGAACAAATTCATGGAAACTTTATCACGGCTGGACTTTGCAGGCAGGAACCTTCATGTAAATGTGCAGCGATAACTTTATTATCGACAGTTTTACATATAATTTGATGGTTACTGGCAGAGAGAGTGAAGCTGAAAACAATCCTCTTTCTCAGTTGTAAAAAAGTTAAAGCTTATCTTTTATAACATGCATCATGTGTGGACTCACATGCAAGAAAGCAGAATTACTGCTCATTTTATTGCTTTTTATGCTCCAACCAAGCAACATGCGTTTTGACTTTGTCCCCATGGAGTCGTGTGACTCAGATCGACGTCCAGCGCTCTGATCAAAGCCTTATGTCAACATGTGGGCTCGCAGCTCCCAACCGCACGGCCAGTGTTGCTGCTTATTTGTGTGTAACCACGACGACGCACCGATGCATCATGACCCCCCCTCAGAGTGTCGATGACGGCTTGCGGCCTCTGGTTCGTCTCATTTATTCACTACCACTCAAACAAGGAGGGCAGAAGTCAGCAGCCTCTGAAACCAGATGTTTACACACAGCAGATAAAAACACGCTTGACTTTTTATTTTTCCCTGCTGTCGGAGAAATAAGTGAAAACTTCTCCGGCTTCAAGTCGGGCAAAAATCACCAAAATGATTTCTAATGAGTCAAGTTAATATATAAAAAGTTATTGAAACAAAAGCAGAGTGTTTTTTTTGTTTTGTGCGTTAGCTAACTTAAAAAAATGTTAGCTTCCCCGAAATTAGTTTTTACAGATAAATCCTAAAGTGTGGAGGTTGAAAGAAGTTTTGGTTTTTGATGCTCTTATTTTGAAACTTTATTTCAAACAAAAATGTGCAGTGAAGTAAAAAACATGACAAAAATATAATATTGATTTCTAAAGGATTTATAGAATATTAAATTTATAAGTTTAAAATGAACTAAGAACCACTGAAGAAAACAACATGAAAAACTCAGACGACACTGAGCACAACTTCCCTATTGGTGAAATGCAAATAAAAATGGAGTAGCATAATCTATTAGCGGTTGTAGGATCTCTCTTATCTTTTAGCGCAAGACTTGCACATTTGTTTTGGTTGCATTTACCCAGAATGCCCTGCACTGTAGTCTGCTTCCTGCTTCTAGAGAAGTGTCTGATGCGTTTGGCATTCACATATGTATCCAAACTGAACCAGAGTTTACTTCAAACAAAGAGAGACCGATGTTTGCAGACAGACCTGGGATGTGTTTTTGGTCCACATCCCAGCTGGATTAAATGTTTAAATGTTGTGCAACAACGCATGATGATAAAGAAACTAAATCATCCAGAAAATTAGGGTTAATCGTGACTGATATGAAGTGATGAATTCTTCCTATCTGAGTGGCATTTCAGGAAATAGCCATGCTTTTTAGGACTAATCTCTTTGTCCTGATTAAAGAGATTAGGTTGCATCTGGAAAGTTTGTAAAGATCCATAAATAATATGTAAATGCAGGACATCATTTCGCTTAATAAGTTTCTCTAAAGTATCAGATTCCTGTCTTGCATTATGCTGCCTGTACATACAAACGGTGTGATCAGGGTTTTCTGAATCTACAGTTTCCAGACAGGAGGGGGATAATAATCTAGATTTACTGAAATGTTTGCACAAATTAAATGAAAAAGGTCACAGCTAAGGTCTTCTGCTGAGGCCTCTGACATTCCTGCTTTGTTCAACACAGATTCTCTGCAGACATGAAGCACAGAGCGGCTGAAAGTCACTCCGGATTAACGCCTGAGAGAGGAGATTCCTGCTGCTGGAGATGTGTTGGAATGGACAGATACATGCGAGATTTACTAAAGAGAACTAACATTTTACTCCCAAAATATGATTTCAACCATGACATGTAGAAAATGCTTAGTAATTATGTTCAGATTTGGATAAACATAACTTGGTACGTTGCAGAAGTTTCCAGTCTACTCAAATAATAGCAATTACTCCTGTCACGATAAATTTTGCTGGATGACAAATTGTCCCAGAATTTATTGCGATAAAAGATAATATTGCATAGTTTCCCCCCAGTGTTTTATAAGCCTGGCGGGCCGCCAGGCTTTACTCATTCCCCCGCCACGCTGGCTTGCTCAAAAATATTTGCATTTTTAAAATTTTATTGTTGGTGTTGAGGTATTAATCTTCTAATCTTTCAATAACACAAAATTATCAAGTGATATTTTCAAATTTCCTGTCAACTTTAAAACATTTTTAACTAAAAAACATGTCAAGCTGCTGGATGAATGCCTGCCTCGGCACCGTGATCCGCAAGTTATCTGGGGGAAACCTTGTATTGTTTTGAGACCATTTTCTAGGAATGTAATAGTAATAATGGCATAACACAATAAAGCATTCTCAAAGGTCAATAAAGTTTAAGTTCTAATGAGCATTTAACACTGCGAAACATTTTAAATAGTCAAAATAAAAAAAGCAGCAAATAAAAGTTTCTCAAGTACTTATAGTCAGAAATATCCACCTCTGAAAAACACATTTATTAGCTTAGTGAAATGCGTGTTTTAACTGGTTCTCATTTAGTTTTATCTCCATCCAACAGCATTGTTCTGGCTTGTGTGGGAGAAATTGTACGAAGGTTTTTGCCTTTTGCTGGTTTCTAACACACGTTTGTACAGCGTCGATCTGCATTGATGCCTCGGGTGAAAAACCGATGCCAGAATCTCAACGCTCATATTGCGTTTAAAGACGGCTTGAAAAAACAAGTTGAAGCATGTTAACAATGGATTAAACCGTTATAATGGCTGAAAAAGAATGGAGAACAGTGTAATAAAGCTATGAGCCTTTATTGCACCAAATAGAGTTTGGAATAATAAACATTTTTATATTTGTTTTTAATCTAGTATTGTAGTAGCAGATTAACATGAGTGTAAAGACTCAAAAGAAGGCGATTTTCTGAAACAACACCACACTCAGGGCAGTAATTAAGCCAAAACTGAACAACAATGTGTAAATTTAAGATAAAGACGTCTTATTCGTCTGTAAATATGTTTTAGCCAGAACATGTCAATCGGTACTTTTAGGTTTATCTTGTTCAAATCCTCTAAAGAAAATAATAATCATAAAAAATAATAATTTTAAGCGCCTTTTGCTATCCAGGTATGAAACTGTTAATCCAAAAAAAATAAACATGTCATCTCTGCACTGTATTCAGGCTAAGTCAAGCAGAAACAGCCGAGCTTTTCACATATTGATGTTACAAGTACTTTTTTAGCTGCAGATTCGTTCTTTGCTAAATGTT